GCCCCGGTAGGCAGAGGCCCAGACCTCACCCGCAGACCCAGGGCCTGGGTAGTTGCATGTGCCCAACTGCCCTTGGCCTGTCCACGGCCTGCATCCGCGTCTGGCCCAGGGCACCACTCAGATACATTTGCAAAATGTGGCCTGGGCCTGGGCGCCTTCAACCAACTGGCACAGCGCAACTGTCTGAATTTCCCCAGTTGCGGGGTGGCCTGAAAAAAAGAGGCCCTGAGGGCCTGTCGTGCCTGCCTTCACTTAGGGCAGCCGACGTGCTGCAAAAAAGGGCCCTCTAAGGGTCTTAGCGGGCGTAGCCTCGCATTCCCTCCTCCATATCTTCGWTAGTCCTCTGAGAAGATCAATCTTTGGGAATCTGGCGCTTTCCTTTCAACACATTCTTCTCATAGTGGGCTACGACTTGAGGAGCGGTCTGCATCAATTCCTCCCGTGTAAACCAACAGTCCTCATTAGGATCTGTATGATGTCTGAAGCGTACACGGACCTGCAGTTTCGGCTTCGGAGGACGTCCCCTTCCTGGAGGTTTCTGAACCGGCATCTCTCGGTGGTCAACGATATCATCAATGTCGACTTCTCCGTCCATGGTTGAGGGCAGCATTGAATGACGAGAGGGAAACTGATCAGTTTCCTCGGACGCAGCGAGCTTAGAGGCGTGGAAGACTGGGTAAGTTCTAAGATGAGCAGGGATACGGATGAGATAGGATGGCCCATCAGGATCTGTCCCAACTACATCTAAGACCACCCAAGACCCAAAGTACTGAGGCATCAGTTTACGAGATATACCATACTCCTGTCCCACTTCTGAGGACTTGACCCAGACTCTGTCCCCAACCTGAAATGTAGAAGGGCGGCGGTGTCTGTTCTCAGACTCTATCATTGCTGCCTGCGCCTTCTGCATGTGTTCTACAGCCTCCTGCATTTTCTGTTCATATCGGTAAGCAAACTCCAAAGTGCCCGGTGCAGCAGTTGGCTGGTTATCAGGAAGTAGAAAGTCTAAGGGCAGTCTAGGCTTAAACGTTAGTAACAGACTGTTAGGACTAACCCCGGTTGCGCTGTGTACAACATTGTCATACAAACTGGTGATGAGGGCAAGCTTCTCATCCCAGTCAACCTGATTGGGCTTGATATAGTGCCGTAACAAATGCTGTATTGCGCGGTTCAGTTGCTCGGCCTGGCCGTTTGCTTCTGGGTGATTCCCAGATGTCATTTGCAACTAAGTCCCTTGCCCTGCAGCAGCTGCCTTCCACAACTCACTTGTGAATCTGACATCCCTGTCACTCACAATCGACTTTGGCAGCCCGAAATCTCTAACCCAGTTCTCCTTAAACAACCTGATTACGTACTCGGTCTTTGCTGTTTCCGGCATGGATATCAATCTAGCATGGATATCAATCTAGCATACTTACTAAACCTATCCATGGTGACAAAGATCTGCCTCATCCCACTCTTGCTGGTGACCAGCGTATCCATGAAGTCCATGGACAAGCTTTCACCAGGCCTTTCAGGAATTGGAAGGGGCTTGAGTAGCCCAAGAGGTGCATGAGTACGGGGCTTGTCTCGTTGGCAAACTTGACAAGTCTCCACGTACAGCTTGGCATCTTTCAACATCGTGGGCCACCAGAACCGCTGCAGCAAGTTTGCTGATGTCTTCTTATACCCCAAATGACCGGTGGCATCATGACACTCACCTAAAAACAAACTACGCAATGACTCTCTATTAGGGACACACAACCGTTTATTCCCTGCCTTCTCGAGAAACAGCAAGCCATTGACCAACTCAAACTCAGTTGAAGTCTGTTTATCCTTCGCCTCAAGTCTGCGAATGATCTCAGACATGAACTGGTCCTCGCGATAGGCTTCCACCAAAGATCGAGTAACATCGTCCGTCAGATCGAACTCAGTAATCAGCACACCTGAGAAATCAGGTCTACGCGACAAGGCATCAGAAACCTTGTTGTACTCGCCCTTGATGTACTGGGGCTCGAAGTCATACTGCTCAATGACCTCAATCCAACGCTCCAACGCGTCAGAGAGTACCGGCTGAGTTCTCATCCATCTCAAGGTCTGATGATCAGTCCGAAGGATGAAGAACCTCCCAAGGAGATAGTGTCTCCAATGGGTCAGAGCCTTGTACACCGCATAGAGGTCCTTCTCGTAGGTGGACTTTGCCAACTTCTGAGACGACATTTTCTTGGACAAGTACTCTACCGGCCTCAACTTTGGCCCCTCCTGCTGCACAAGCACGGCGCCAATGCCATATTGGCTAGCATCCGTGGTCACTATGAATGGCTTGTCAGGATCGGGTAGCTTCAAGACTTCATAGTGCGTCGGTGCGTGCTTCAAATGTCTGAAAGCAGCCTTGCACTCATCTGTCCACTCCCATGGGGTGTCAAGGCGGGTCAGATCAGTCAAATGGGCGGCCACTATGATGTAGTTCTTAATGAAAGTCCTATAGTAGCCGGTCATCCCTAAGAATGATCTCATCTCAGTCACAGACTGAGGACGCGGCCAATCACGAATGCTGGCCACCTTCGCGTCATCGGGCTTCAACCCCTCAGCGGAAATCTCATGACCCAAGTACAAGATACGGGTGCGGTCGAACTCGCACTTCTCACCGTTGATCTTGAACTTGTGCTGCCGAAGGAGACTTAAGACTTTGTCTAAGTGTGCTACGTGCTCCTCGACAGTTCTACTAAAGATAAATATGTCATCGAGGTACACGATGACAAACTTGTCCAAGTAGTCATGAAAGATCCTGTTCATCGTGTGCTGAAAGGTGCCAGGAGCATTGCAAAGGTCAAAAGGCATCACCACAAACTCGTACAGGCCGTACCTGGTCTGAAAAGCGGTTTTGTGCTGATCCTCGGGGCGAATTGCAATCTGATGGTACCCGGACTTCAGATCTATCTTACTGAAGTACCGACACCCTTGCACTCGGTCCAACAAGTCATCGATGCGCGGTAGGGGCTCTCGATTCTTTAAAGTGATGGCATTGAGGCCCCTATAGTCAATGCACATCCTAAGAGTGCCTCCCTTCTTCGGTACAAATAAGACTGGAGAACCATACAGAGAGACACTCGGCCGGATCCACCCCTTCTCTACGAGTTCCTTGAGTTGTCGACGAAGCTCATCAAGCTCGCCTGGAGACATCCTATAGATCCTACCCTTCGGGATGCTAGACCCTAGGATAATCTCTACAGCGTGGACGACCTCCCTCTCAACAACCCCTTTCGGCTCTTCAAATAGATCAGGGTATTTTGCAACTACTCCCTCTATCTCTGCCGGCATTTTCACCGGCTCGCCTGCAGCAGAGACGTAAACTAGATATATACCCTCCTCCTGATTTTGCTTATAATAATTGTAGAACGTGGCCGCACACAAGCAACCGTGGGAATCGATCAGACTACTAGCCTTAAACTTATGTAATCTGGCGGTTCCCCCGTTTGGCAAAGTGTGTTTGACCACTTTTCAGTCCCAGTCAAACTGGGGCTGTGCCACGGAGAGGTAGTACATACCTAACAACATGTCCATGGGGAGCTCGTCGCTAACTAGGAACGAGACACAATGTCTCAGTTCCCCTCCTGCGTACGGGAAAAGACACTCAATGTCTTTTAGGTAGTCGTGGACTACCATGCGCTGTTTGTTGGCACACGTCGACTCCACAGGTCGACTCAGGCGCTGCACTTGACCCTGTAAGCGCAGCCTTTCAACGCACGTGCGACTGATAAAATTCCTCGTCGAGCAAGTGTCGTAATAGGCCCCAGCCTTGCGGCTGCCAATGACTACCTCGCTGACGAACATCTCACTCCTAGGGGCTTTTACTAGTGCCGTCCAAGAAGCTAGTGGGTCTGATCTAGACCACTCATCCTCTAGCTCCTCTAAGGATTCAAACACATTCATCGAGCAGAGGGTCGATGGGTCCGAATGTGTTTGCGGGACGACAAGGGAGTCAGTAGCTTGGGCCCTTTCGCACGGAGGTGGGGGTGTCTCCACCACCGCGACCTTAGTAGGAACAACTACTATTCCTACTGGCCCGACGTGTTTCCCGGAGCGGTGCCTGAAGTGCTGGCAACGTTGCTACCAACGGGATGAGGAGATACTACCGCCTGCCCCATAGTAGGCGGGATCTTTTCAGTGACCTTCTTGTTCTTGCATTCAAACTGGCTATGGCCGTACTGACCACAGCGAATGCAAGCCTGACGGTTCCACCTATCTCTCCACACGTCCTCTGAAAGACCCGCTTTCTCCCATGGAGGAGCATTGGGGTCTACTTGACTCTTAGACCGGGATCCTCCTCAACGTCTACCGGTCCCCTTACCTTTTTGCTGTTGCAAAGACGCGACTACTCCACCCCCTGAAGCATCGCTGCCAGCCTCTGCACCTACTTCTGACTGGGGTTCGACGTCCAATTCGATGGTTGAACCATCGTTGTCGACGAACATAATGCGACCTTTCGCCTTCCAGTCAGAAGGCAGTGTCTTCTTCCTACCATCCGTCGGTGGGGTATGTCCGTGTCCTATCTTTGCCTCCAGATCCAAAGCCTTCTTACTAAATGAGGCAAAGGTGTGCATGGTGATCATCGCCTCACTCGCCAACTGAGTCCTTATCTCCGTAGGGAGACACCTCAGATATGTGACAAGCAAGACTTGGGGATCGTAGCGCACGCCAGGGACGCAGATCAGCCGCTCAACGGCTTCGGTCGCATCTCTTACTGACCTGAACTTTCCAGAAGTCAGGGTCAGTATCCCATCCATGGCCCTTTGGGCCTCTTGTGGGTCATGCCACCTTTCCTCTACTAACTTGAGCAAGTCCTCCAATTTCTTGGTGGCTGCCCAGGCGCGGAGGTCATGACCATAGCCCTCTAACTGCACTTGCCCACTCAACCATTTAGCTGTTGTCCCCTCTAAATAGGACGCAGCGACTAACACCTCCTCGTGAGGCTGAGTCATCTTACAGCGGACATAGACAGGGACCATCTTCAACCAAATGTTGAGGTCCTCACCCTTCTTATCACCTGAGAAGGGCTTTGGAGCCGCGATGGCCGTCTTTGGTACCCACTGACCTTGTCCCGGTACCTGTCCCACACCAGGCTGTGGACCTTGGGACACAGGTGGCTGACTCACAACCGGCTGGGCCTGTGTGACCTGCGGTTGACCAGCTTGCGGGACAGCAGATTGCCCACTGATGGCAACCTGCGGCGGTGGTTGGGAGAACACTGCCTGTACAGGAACCTGTTGACTAGGTCCCGCTGCTAATCCTCCTGAAAGCGGCATGCCCAGGGAGACTATGGCTACCGTAGACGGGGCTACATATGGGGATACCCCAGTCACCGGTGGGACAGGTGGAGATGGATGTGCCACGAGCCAGGCACCAGGCCCGGCAGGGAATGGAACTACCTGCAAACGCTGTACCAGCGTGGCCAGCGTCTGCTGAATGTCTTGGAGGACGGCAGTTTGTTGGTCCTGCATCTCCGCTATACCGAGCACAGCACTACGGACTAACCTCACATCAGCATCCACATTGGTAATTTCCATCTCATCTAACACCTGAATGTCCGCTTGACGTCTCTGCAACCTGGCTCTGCTTCTAACCATTCTATCTTTCTCCGCTTTTATATCTGCCAAGGCCTTCTGTAGTTGTGCCTCCTGCAGGGCTGCCTGCTGGATGGCAATATCCTCGGGTGACAGCAACACTTGCTGGCTTGCCATGGGGCCAGCAGACTGACTCTGGGTTTGCGACATCGTGGAGCCTACCGAACCTGAACTCCTGACTTGAGAAGTTTGCTGCGCCGTGCCCTGCTGCGAAGCGGTGGCCATTGCGGCCGCTGAAGCTGCTGCCTCAGCTGAAAGGGCTCTACTAGCCTCTGCGTCCCTTTCTCGCTGCTGCTGGCGTCGCCTCTCCCTAGCCTCTCTGAACAGGCCACGGTCTCCCTCTAATCCTAACGCTCGAAAGACCAGAGGGAGTCTACGGGCTGATGATCGCAGAACACGGTCGTCCGGTTGTTGTTCCTCCCTACCGCTCATAAGCTACAAACTGTGCTTTACCTACACTAGGACAGACCAGGCTGCCTACCGCAGCGACTGCACAGACCGATTTAAAATAATTAAATTAAATAATCGGTGGTCAGGTCAGAGATATCCAGTTGGATACAGCAGGTCAGTACAGATTCCTACAAGCAATACTATTTTTACAATGACTAGTTCTCGAACAGAAGCAGCATCAGGAACAAACAAGATTCTAACTAATGCTGTCTGTCAGATGTTACATGGCAGTCCATCTAACTAATCAAAAATAAAAATAATATTGTTTGACTGGGTCTGTTTACAGCATGGAATCTACCTCGAACTTATCACCTGGAATCTACCCCTCCCACAGTTCATCTCAAAGTCTCGACATCACGTCCCTAAGCATCAGAAGCCAAGCGTGTCTGAAGGTGTGTGTTCGGCCCACCCCTGTGCCCCGAGTAGTTGGCAGCTGGCCAGCCTTGCACGTATATTTATCCTCGGCGTGCCGCGAGCCTTACATCACTGGCTGATCAAGAGGCATTTTAGCGTCCGCCCCCAAGTGACATCAGGAATTATTTTACGTCGCAGCAGGACGACAATCACAGCCAGTGATTTCCCCTTCTGATGTTTATTTATAGACGCTCGGTGCTCATCTTTCCTGTAGGGCTGGCCAGCCCACCAATACCCATCTAACAGCGCAGCAGGCAGAACAAGGACAAGCAGCAAAGCATGCGTGCTCTACTCCCGGTGCGTTGGCATGGTGACCGTGACCCAGTGCTTCGTCCAGGGCCCTTCAAGAAGCTTCGCCCGTCTTCCCCCAGATGTTCCACGTGAACATTCACGACTCTCAAGGTTGGGCGCACACGACACCTCACGATGAGAGGACTCTCAAGACAGAACTCACAACCTCACGGTAAGAAGTGATGAAGCGGGTAGATAAGGTTAAGAGCAATGTACCTCGTTATTGCTGCCCCCAACCACAGAGATAATCTCACCAGATGACCTGAAGGTGATTGCGATGACCAGTCACTGCATCGGCACAACCAGCATTGTCTCGCCGTTCCACCTCAGCATCAATCACCCATCAGATAGTTCTCATCACACTGCGAACACCCAATACACCTCAGCCTTCCAGGCGATACCCCTCACCGCCTGGGTCGCCTACACCTCGTCTCCACCCTCCTCACTACACACCAGCACGGCCCAACTCACGAAGCAGACCGCATGTATGTACCGCATAAGGTAGAAGACAAGCGCCAGATGAGCGCACCGTACCACAGCTTCGATACCAAATTGCAAGGAAGATGAGCAATAGCGAACCTCAGCAATCAACATGCATTATACACACAAGTCCAGATAGTCTTGACCTCGAACCAAAAGCAGAAATGCGCCACGAGTTTCACCAAATAAGAATGCA